CCGGCGCCCGGCCCACCCATTCAAACCCGCGATGATCGCCGCCCGCGATGACTCCACCTCTCCGATCTCCGTGACTGCACCTGCCGACGATTCCGCGCACCTTCCGCTCGCTCTCGGTCAGCGTCGACTCACGGCTCCTGTTCCTCTCGATTCTATCACCGATCCGTAATGCGCTCTGCGAACGCAGCAAAAATGACCACGACGAAGGGCCTAAGGACGTACCGCCGCGTAGCCGGGACGGAACCCGGCACGCCGGCTTGTCCGACCTCATGCACGCGTCACTCCTCTATTGACTGATTTATTTGTCTCTTTCACCCTAGCCCGCACATGCCACTCATCTCAATTTCGGGAGGGGTTGAGCTGCGCACTCGAGGACAAAAAAGCCGGGAAGGGAAAATCCACCAAGGTGAGACCAAGAGTGGCTCTGACGAGGGAGGGGAGTTGCGCGCGACAACGTGCACAGCGATGACACTGATGTCGAGACGCGATCCTACTTCCGTCCCGTGATCACGCCGACTCACTTAACACGATACGATGCACCCTTCGCATCCTCTCCAATCCTCTCGCATCCCTGTGTGATACGCCCTCGTTTCTGCCGCGCGATGGCAGCACCGTTGCGCATGTGTCAAGTACGATGCAATAATATACAGAAATTGGGAAAGGGTGGTGGCGACGCTTTCAGCGCATTGAACGTAATAGGGGTGGAGGCTGATCGGCGTGAAAAACGAAACAAGACTGACGTATAAAAATTATTTGATCGAAAAAACAATTTCATTAACATCAAGTCACAATCATGCAATTATCATCAGATGTGCTGAAAACACCCTTGATCATCGATAAAATTAGTTCGCCGTTACGTGGATCTGATTGATATGTCGTGGATGACGCAGCTGGAAAATTAATAATGAGGTTACCGAGAAAAGCTTAATGGATATGGAAAATTCAGACGTTATGACAAAGCGTTGAATCCCTTCGTCTGTATATATACACGCTATATGTATCTGTATATATGTCTTCAATTCTGTTCGATTCTAACATACCACTACAAACTCGTCCCCTTTTATCCTTCTCTCTCCACGTATGACGTTTCTGATTTTCGAAGGAAGCAATCGGTGGCAGCACTGCAGACTACGAGACGCCAGCGAACCAACAAGTACAAGGGTGGTCAAGAAGGATCGTGGGGGGTAAAACTTGGAGTGGAATAGGGGCAGTAGGATAACCTCGATTAGTTGATGGAAGGTGCAAGCAAACCAACACGCCAATCTGATAACCTTCCGTAGCCACGCACGAATAATGATTTCATTCGTAAACAGTTTTTAACTTTTCCTCATTTTTTCTCGCTTTTTTCTTCTACTCAGGTATTAATATATCAACTTATTATATTTCATTTTAAGTATTTTAAAGCATTGTTTTATTGCATCAAGTGTTAAGGAATAAATTTGAAACTACAGAAATGTCGATAAAGATCTTTAAAAATCTTTGAAAAAGAAAATTTTTTAAAAAGAGTCATTCTTATATGCCAATATCTTATGTTTTCCTATTTCAACAAGAGACATTAAAATTGAATACAAATATTAAAGTGAAAATAACGCAAGCACGCGCCACACGCACACACACACACACACACGCGCGCGCGCACGCACAAAATAAACTATAAGAATTTTGGAGAAATGAATAAACTGGAGGGAAATTATTTTCAGGACTTGGGCTTGCCCTGTGATTGATATCTTTAAATTAAATTAATATTTACAACAGTAGACATTAAATTAAAAATTAAAAAATTATTTTTTCTTATACAAAAAGAAACATTCCTAATTAAATAAAAAACAATGCGCCAGATATTGTAATCGTATTAATGACGATTGATAACAATCAATTACTTTTTGTACTCACTATATCATTTCCGAAATATTCATATAGTCCAAGCACAAACTGCTGAATGGTAGTAACACAACACTAACACGTGATTAAACACGTGAAGATAACAATGAAGATAAAATGCTCAACTGTCGAATAAATCAAGAATAAAGGAAAAAGCCTCTAGAATGAGATAGTTGGCAAGCTTGTAACAACGAGAGTAAACCACGTGGTCGGACTTAGTCCGCTGATCGAGTTGGCAATAAGCCAATCTATTCCGCCTAAGTTCGCTTGTGACCACTGTATTTGATCACGGAAGATAAATGCGTTTCATCTACAAAATCGCATTAAACCTTCGCGGCAATTCTTCTATTAGGGGATCGAAGTATATTTTAGATTTCTTTTTTATGCTAAGAAGGCTCACTCAATGATTATAAAAATATACATCGTTAACGATAAAAATTGCGAACTAACAAAATAAAAAAAATCATCTAAATTTTTCTGATCTACCAGAAGGGATAAATAAAATCGCTAATACGCTTCCGCGGACAGTTACAAGATGGCGGTGTCGCAAAGCACTACGACCATCTGGTCAATACCAGAAAATGAGGTTCACCTGGCACGCTAACCCCGATTCAAAGACGGACGCGACTATTCTATGCAATCATGCATTTCACATCAAAAGTGTCTAAAAATAAAGTAAAATTACTTAGAGGAAAAACACAATATTTTCAAGTTCATAACTTTTACAAGTTAAAAAACTAAGCTGCAATGTGCGAACAGTTCGCAATATAACAATTCTAATTGATTTCTGGATGCAAAATAAATTAATTAATATGAGACTGTAGATGTATAATGACTTAAAAGATCGTCAACAATTTGTTAAAATTAAATGTATGTCAAAATAGCACAAGTATATTGCCTATATAAAAATAAACCAATAACTTAAACACTAGATTTAATTAAGTACAGCTGCAGATATATAATACTTGTATATTTTATTTAAATTAATTGGCAACTTGTATTTTGAAAACACTTGTAAAATATAAGTGTTACATATGATTTCCAATGCGAAAGCAAACTCTAATGTTAAGTAAGATCAAATATTTATATTGTTTTTAAAAAATAGAGCATAAGAAGTTAAATCTACAGATAACGCTTAGTAGTACAAAGTCATCTGCGTTAACTGCACTTCGTAAGTGGAACTTGTAACTCAACCTTCGATTGTTATAGTCATAGTACGGTTTAAAAAGATAAACTGTTCTCACTAACTTTGCACAACTAGGACGATTTGGTTTCGTTAACTTCACGGTTTTACATCGTTAAACCTCCAGTGGATTATTTATATGGTTTGTTCAAAGTTAAGAATTGCTCCACCCTATTCAGGATAAAAACAGTAAACAAAAAGTATTTTCATCTAGAGTGCTTCTCTCTCTCTCTCTCTCTCTCTCTCTCTCTCTCTCTCTCTCTCTCCCCTCCCCCTCCTCTCTCTTTTCTCTCTCAAACTGATGAGAGTTCCACAAAGAGATCTATCAACTCTTTGATGTAGTCCGATAAACGCGATCTAACCAAACACTCGAGCAGAAGCAAATAATCGATTAAAAGGGTCTCTTAAATATTTCAAGTACTATTTTAAAGTACTATTTACTATACTTAATGAAATGAAAAATGGATTCGTTCATAAAAAGTCATTTTTGGAATCATCTATCCCATCTCAAACATACGTGCTATCATCTGTTCTATCTTACACATACGTGCTTCCTTTTGTGTCATTCAGCAACAGTTAAACTTCAACCAGCTATTCATACAACAATCCTTTCTTTTAACTAAATTAAAGAAGTGCCAAATCGGGTCAAGGTTATTTTTTTCTACATTTCCCTAAAAAAAAAAACTTTTCTTTTCTATTCTTCTCTCATACTTCAGCCTTCTCTATTCTCTTTCTTCAGATACACTCACTCATACCACGTTTTAAAAACGCCACACAGTCGTTAAACAAATCAACCACTCATTATCAAACCAAAGATCCCTTTCAAACAACTTTTACTCTCACACTAATCATTTCCGCTACCCACCCGTCGTCACGTGACGGAGAAATCTATCTGACGATATCACGTATGTAGTATCCACGAGCTTTTCCGCAAATTTACGGCCCTTCGTCTAAGTCAGTTTCGCGCGCCCGTTTGTACGTATATATTTGCGTGGCGAGCGATCGGGTTTGATATAATCGAAAAAGAGCTTTCGTAGACTCGACCAATCACTGACGCGAATGGTAGCACGGCGTCGGTATGACTGACTTCTCTCTCCTGACCCGTCGTGCATGACTTGCACGACTTATGGCAAGCAACCACCGCTGAAGGCGTATCTGTGGTTGGTCAGCCGGTCGACCGTTCGCTTCCTTTCTACTAGCTACCGCGGTCTCGCGTATGTATTCGTGTCATGCCGATGTCGTATCGTATCGCGGAACGCTCTTGTCAGCAACGTAACCCAGACTCGGCATCAAGAATTGGAACGCGCCGGTACCACCGATAAGATAATGCATTCATCTTCGATTTGTAACAGTTCAATAAGCTATATAGTAACACAGTCGAATATGTATAATATAAATCGCTAATGAATATTTTGAATCGGCTATTCTTTAAAAATTCTCGAAAACATTTTTTATTTAAATTATTAATATATTATATAGAAAACACGAAAACGTGCTTAAAAGTACATATTATATTATTTTAAGTATTATTAATTTTGATTAACTATAGCAAGCAAAACATTTAAACTTTTCACAATTTTATTTTTCATATTTTTTAGGAAAATTATTATTATTTTATCATTATTCTTATTATTATTTTATTATTAAGCATTATTCATATCATTTTCTAGAATCCCTAGATAAACACATTTCCAAGTATTTCGCGTAGTACAATCTCAGAAGAAGGCCATGGTCTCTTGAATATGCAACAATGATTGTCATCAAAAGTAGTTTTCAACCTACTCGCGGGAGTTCGACTAAGTCGGTACATTATAAGCCATCG